CTTTTTATTAAAATCTAATTATTGGACTTTAAATAAGATATAAATTTAAAAAATATTTTTTTGTCCATTCTTTTTTCAAAATATAACTATAAAATTTATTTTAAAAAATTTTGTGTGTTATAATATGTGTCTAATGAATAAATGACTCAATAATTATTTTCGTCTAGTTGTTAGGTTGTGGTTAATGTTAAAACTTTGGTTGCACTGGAGATCAATTACGAAAAAGAGATGACCTGAAATTTAAAAAGAAGAGTTTGAATTCTAAGGAGAAGATGATTTTGAAGAGGAAGATTTTTTGAATTTAAAGGAAAGGAATGTTGTATGTGTTAGAACATGAATGCATAGTTATTAGAGCCAACCCGATGATCAACTAAAAAAAATTACCGGGTTAATGGTTCAATCGGTGGGTTATTGTTAAATTTTAATTTTAATTAAATTTTATTTTTGAAGTGAGAATAAAACAATTTTTTGAAATGTAATATATATATTTTGCTCATAGGAAACAAAGAACCATCATTTGCCATAATGATTGTGGAGTTAAAATATTTTCTTGAATTCCAAGGTTCAAGTCATGGCTCCAACAAATTTAAAAAAAACTCCAATTTCTTCTTCATTTTTGTTTTACAAGTTAAGGGTAAAGAAGTCTTTTGACACTTTTAAATAATTAAAACTCCTTTTATTTTTATAAATTTGGTCAAAGGCCAATTGAACAAAATGTACATTAAGGCCCTGTTTGGCACTCATTTTTATCAAAATATATTTTTCTCTCTCTTTTTTTCAACAACACATTTTTTATTAAAATAATATTACACGTAAATCAAAAACTTTTTCTTATTTTTCAACCATATATTTCCCATCAATTTACTATTCAAAAATACATTTTCACCTAAAAATTCCTACCAAACACCCTCTAAATTGGCCTCCCCAACTCATTTCCCCAATAAAAATGCATAAATTTAAAAATAGCACCTTCTTCCTCATTTTCGTCGCCAATCTTATTCCCTCACCAAAAAACACGCACAAACACACACTGAGAAGGGTTTTGCTTTCTGTAAGTTCTGACAGTTAATGAAAATGGCGAATTCGCTGCAAGCATCGACTCGGCCGTGAATTCTGGAAGTCGTACCTCTTGCGGTCGTTATTCTCGTTGTTGCCCATGTCCTTGCTTTGGTTAGAACCCACCTCAAATTCAAATCTTTTTTTATCTAGCAAAATGATTCATTAAATTGAAGTCTCCATTTTATGTGTTTATCTGTGTGCGTACAGGTTTACTGGATTTACAAGCTAGCAACTGAGAAGCAGCCAACGAGAAGGAAAACGCACTAACCGAGTTCATCATTTTTTAGTAATAAAAAGGTAAAAATCCTAGATTAATTAATTTTACTTTTTGATTGCTACCCTCTGATTTTCAATTTTCTCAATTAATGTGAATTATGAAACTTTAGCTATATATGCCTACCTTGAATTTAAATATTACTGTTAATTGGTTTGCCCTTTTACTTGCTTCTTGTTTGTTTGTGCTCTATGATTAGCTCAAAATATATTTTTGATAATTCTATCGAAGATTGTTTGTTTTTTGGTTTTGTTTTCATGAAGGATCATAAATAAATCAGTTGGAAAATGGATTCGAGAATGTTGGATCAATTAATGTTGGCATAATTATTAAGTGTTTCTGGGCAGGGTCTGGTTCCGAATAATACGAATAAAACCAAGAATTACAGGGTAAATGGAACCTTTGTGTCCAACTTTATTTATGGAACTGAACTGAATCATAATAAATTTTTTTCAATGCTATAAACAACATATTATTAATCTAACAAAAAATAGGTTTCTTACAAAATAAAAAAGATAGTCCAAATTGTAAAATAGAACTAACTAGCTGTCTAATAAAATTCATTCACAATTTATACAAATGACCAAAAAGAAAATAATATAATACTAAAACAGGTGGATTTCCTTTCCATCCCTTTGATTTCTTCACTCCAGGCCATCAAATCCACATAAAAAATGAAATATGAAATACTAATTAAAAGTAATAGAAATAAAATATTTTTGTGTGATATTACTAGTACATATGACCTTCAACCATTTAATCATCAAATGCTTGGCTTGTCACATTTAAGAAACTCTACAAGATATAATTGAAAAAGTACAATTAAAACAAGAGTAATGCAATTTTGTCCCACTGGAGATGCAACCTCAATTTAGGTGGCGCTAATGTGGCATTAATTGATAGGTAGAATTAAATGACTAATTTAATTTACCTTTTATTTAACTAATCACCCATTGCCACTTAAACCAGGGTTGCAACCACAGTGGGGCTACATAGCATTATTCTTAAAGCAAACATAAATAAATTAAAACTTGTACAAATAATAAGATTTAAAATGGATAATTATAATATATCTTTTATTACCTGTCTCAATTTGCTCATAGAACTCCATTTCTTCAATGAAAACTCTATCTTGGGGAACTCTCAAAATTATGGATTCTTCCCATAGCAAGTTTTATGTACAAATTAAGGCCTCAATACTAGTACTGCCCAAATTCAAGTAAGAATCCCTGCCCCTACACCTCGAAGGCTTTGATCATGGATATTGCGAGACGTGTTCGGTTTAAACTAGGGGCAACTTGATCCTTTACTGCCTCGCCACCTACCTTAAATTACATGGTGAGTTTCTTTCTTCCAATTGATGTGCATCCTGCCTAAGGTTTCTGTCAATTGCAACCCCGCCTGGGGCTGACGAGCTCGTGTGGATAAAATCATCAATTATTTCATTGTTTTGCAGTGACAAGACAACCCCATTACATATCCCTTCTCCCCTAACATCCAAACCTGTGCCCATTAGGACTTCATACCCTACACTGTCAACACGAGGAAGACCGTTTGCCGCATCATTTCCACCAAAATGAATTTATGAGTGGATCCACAATCATTTGACATCACCATCTCATGTGCAATCATCCTTTGACGTTCATATTCTTTGGGGGGAATCAAGCCCATCTTGGAATCAGGGGGTAGTTCCACCTAGTCCCCATAATTTTCATTTCTTCCTCATCGATTGCCTCTTAATTACCGTTGCACCTAATTTCTCTCCACAGATATTTAAGATGTGAAGCTTCTTCTGTTTACATTTGTGCCCTATCAAGTATTTCTCATCACATCTTAAGTAGAGGCCACCCTTTTCCCACTTTGCTTGAAGTTGTGCATCATTTGTAGGGTCATGGAAATTTTGGGATTGTCGATGTCTTTGGTGGAATTGGAGATATGGGTTTTTGGGATTCTCACCATCAAACACCGCCATGTTTGATTTCCATGGCCTTTGCTGTTGACAATTTTTTTCTGCATCTGTGCATATTTACTCCACAGCAACCAAGTCCCACACACCGCCTGCTTCTTGCCCCTGCAAACATAGGTGGATTAGAGGTCTAACAAAGTCCCATACCTTCAAAGTCGTGAAACAAGGGATGGCCACTAAAAGCCTGAAACTGTCTTATTACATTCTGATTGAGGGAGTTTGTGAACACTACCAAAAACAGTGTGTTCAGCGTTAACGAACTTGTCATGGTCCAACGACTTTCCTCTCATTGAAACCACGCCAAGGCCTCTCTGTCAAAACATACAGCCTATGCCTCGAGCTTTTCCTCATTCTACATCGAGTGCACAACAAAGAAACACTCATCTCTAAATATCTAACTATCGGGATTCTCACCATCAAACCCTTGTTTCACAACTTCAATTTCCTTGGCCTTTGATGGTGACAATTTTTCCCTGCATCTGTACGTCATAGCAACCAAGTCCCACACACTTCCTGAAACTGTTAGAGGTCTATCAAAGTCCCATACTTCAAAGTTGTGAAAAAAGGGTGGGCTACTAAAAGCCTGAAACTGCTTTGTTACATTTTGATTGAGGAATTTTGTGAACACTACTAAAAACACATACCACTTAAAAGTATCCTTGTTCCATTTGTTGGTCTTGTGTTGCCAAAGTTTTTGACAACCGGTGCTAGTATATAGATTCGAGAATTAACATCTTGCTTAATCTATTTTACGCTCTTTATATCAGTTATATTAATTTTTCTTTAGCTAGGTATCCTTTTCTCAGTAGCTTATGTTCATCTTCTTGGTGATGCAAATGATTCCAGTTATTGGAGGAAATAGGACACAAGACAGTTCTTCCTTCTGTGTTGAGACCTATCATTCAAATAGATGGGTAAATTAGAATGATATATAGTAAGTAAGAGCTGATTTGATCTTAAGATCTGTTTTTTTTTCCAATTTCTCTTCTTTTTGAATTAAGTATCCAAATGTTTAGGACCTACAGTGTTAGTCAGGTCTGCCATTGCTTTGGAGAAAGACAATATTCGTAGAGTTGAGTATTGTAATGGAGCCTGACTACCATTCATTGTTGGATTTTTATACAGTAAATATATTATGTGAAAAAATAACTAAGTAGATCAAGTGCCCAATTGGTAAAAAGTGTGGAATTTGTGTGGGAGGTCGGGGGGTTATTTTCCAACATTCATATCCAAAGATAGTTAAGTTAGGTGGTTTGTATCCTTCTAACAATCTAATGTTCGATTATTTTGTGGACGCGGTTATGTAACTGAAGATCTATCTTTCTCTGTCTCAGGGGATCCCTTTTTGAAATTATTCAATGATATGGATTCATGCAATGCCATACTGAAGGAGGTTACCAAAGTTATCATATACCTTTTTGTTGCTGTGGTTACCTTTTGAGCTCCATCACTGTTTTTTAGAGGGTTCATGTAGAATTTGTTGATAAATGTCAACCACATGATGTCTTCCTCATAATTTTCTTAATGATTATAACAGTCCTGTGCTTGTTAACTCTCGATGTGTAATTCTACGTAAAACCATTCTTTCTGAAGGGATACTGGAAAATGAAGTCCCAATTTTAGCTGCTCATGAGTTTCCCGTGCTTTAGTTGACTTGATCGTTAAGTTGCACGACCCATTTCTCCATGCATTCTTGGCAGAGGCAATTCAAGCAATTTGGGCCTTAGGCAAAATGATAAATGAGCATTTTTGAGAATGATAATAAAAAAACAATAAAGCTTCTTGTGTACAGCCCCCTTACATGTGAAGGGGCTCACATGGATATTATATTTGTGGTCCCCCACATTGTGAGAGGGGTTTATGGATGTACATCAATAAATGCTGTACACACAACACAACTGATAAAAACAATTGGCGCAATGGTCGCTAGATGTATAATAGTTGATAACTTTGATTGAAATCAATGTGTGGGTGATTTAGATGGAAGTACACACTGCAGTACCATAGGGATTATCGATAAATTGGGGGACTTTAGATAGCAGCCTAAGTTGCCTTACACTTCACCTTGGGAACTTACCAATGTACATTTTTCGAAAGTGACATATCTTACCTTAAAAGGAGATTACTTTAATTCTACTTGAAGAATATTCAATTTTTATTTTTTATTTTTCTGGTATTCTTTATTCATGGAAGTGCTTAAAGTTAAAAAAATGTAATTATTCTGCTTGAAGTTATTTTTCTTGCAACTGCACGCGGTCCACTATGGCTTCAATTAACTATGAGCAAGAAAAGGTGATTGGTTTGTTCTTAATTTGAATAATCTTTTGATTTTATTAGACGTTAAAAATAGATTAGTATTACTTTAAGTCTCCTCCTCGAATATGGTCTGTCTTAAACCATCACTTGAAGTTATCGAATGGATGTGGAACTGAGTTCGATATCAATCTCTATTAACTCAAGTTGCTAAATTGAGATAATAAGCATTAAGTAAGCCTCTACAAAGTTGATTAGTGAATAAGCAAGGCACTCTACCTTTAGAACCTTTTTGACATGATTTTTGAGAAGTTAAAAAGAACTTTTGAAATTCAAAAGTTACTTTGGATTCATTTGGTTTATTTTATAAAAATGTTGCGCTTCCAAAAGAGGAAGATATTTGAAAATTTGATTTTTACACACTAACTCCTGTTTGGCAATCATTATTTCAGAACTCTTTAATTTGTATACTCATTTTGAACTAAATATTTATACAATAAAATATTTTGCTTGTAAATTTAAAATTTTTTCCTACATTTCAATTCTTTGAAAAAATAACTATTTGAAACTCTATTTTCTCAAAATAATGGCCATCAAATAGGGTTAAGTAACGTAGCTATCTTAAAAAGCTGTTCTACAAAAAAATAAAAACAATAGAAGAAGTCCTACCAAATTATGAATGCTTGATCACATTTCAAAGTGCTTTCGACTACGGTTGCCTCTAAAATCACTAGCATATACCGGAACTTTCCATGGGGAGTCAAAAATTCATTGGTTGCTTGGAACAACATTTGCCTACCAAAACATGAAGAAGGACTTGAGTTTATAGATATTAAAAGTTGGAATTGCACTCCAAAATTCTTTGGAACATCCATTGCAAAAACGATACCCTTCGGGTAAAATGGGTCAATCAAGTATATCTTCAAGGGATGAACATTTAGGAGCAGATGGCAAAAAAATGTGATTCTCCTTTACTGAAAAAGTGCTCGAAATGAGGGGCCAAATCAGGGGGCCTAAATGCAAAGTTCAAGTTGGTGTAGACAGGCTGTGCGGTTGGACGAAGGCAGGCAGTTTCAACGTTAAGGTTGCCTATGAATTTTTCAGGCTAAGGGATGCAAAGGTAGTATGGGCAGATACGATTTGGAACATTTCCATCATCCCTAAACATGCATTCATTAATTGGTTAGAAGTTAAGTCTAGACTACTAACCAAGGATAAGATTCAAAATTCGGAATTGGACGGAAGATGTTCATTTTGTGGAGAAATGGAGGAAATAGCACTGCACTTATTTTTTTTATCCGTTTAGCAGTTCCATTTAGGGACAGATTCGTAGTAAGTTGGCCATGAGATGCACTATGTTCACCTCACCAAGCGCATTGAAATGGATTTAAAAGGAAGCACTGGGATCAACTTGGCAAAGCAAAGTTAAACAAAATGCACTTGCTACTTCCTTTTACTACATTTGGATGGCGAGGATTATGATGATTTTTGAGAATCTTAGACCACAAGTTGATTGCATTGTAAGACGAATTATAACACACGAATACAAAACTACGTTTACTTTGTATTCACATATTTTAATTTATTTTGAGTTCTTTGAGTCATTGGCTTATTATCTTTCGTACATCTTTTTATTTTGTTTGCTCGGCAATAATTAGAGTACTTGTAATTGTCACTTCATCTTGTTTGTCTGGATATGCCCACTATACTTGTAAATGAGTTTTGATCAGTAGATTTTACATTTACGGGTTAAAAAAAATAAAAATAAAAATCCCATCTCTCATAAAATTGTAGTTGTCCACTTCACACAAACACATGCTTTGACAACGTATTCAAACTCAAAACAGGCACTTTAGCGTGCTAAGATCTACACTTAAGTTTCAATTGTTTTATTGTCGTTAATTATTTCATTTTGACTTCCAATATTTCTATCTCCACTATTAAAGTAACAAACATTTTATTAATGATCGTCGATTGTGAAATTTCTACCTCTGCAACTTCTTGGAAGGATCCATATTAAGTCAATCCAAAACGTTCCAAATGTAACATACAAACTCTTAGTTTATAATAAATTTATTAATCGTTCATAATTTCATAACTGACAATGACAACACTACCGCAAGCCATATCGTGACCTAACACAAGTAACATTAAACTTGTACCCCAATGAACATAATTATTTATTTATTTATTATTTTTTTTACAAGGTGTCCAATTCTTGACTAATTCTTGGGTCTGTGATCCGGCTCCTCTTCACACAGTCCAGTTAATCGCGAGATGTGCCTCCAACTAGCCAGGGTCCGAGCCCTCCCCAACTTGATCTGCCAAAGTGCTTAGCAAGCCAATTCAAGTTGCACATTGCCTTCCAAGAATAATCCTCGCCTTCCAAGATTTCTCTTGCCTTTCAAAAATAAATCCTTACCTTTCAAGAGCCCCATGAATCGAACTCACGACCTCTGATCTGCCAGCATTGAAAGAGCCCGTCCTTTGTCATTGGAGAAGTGCTCGGGGGGGCTAATTTTTATTTTTTTAATGCTACGTTTTGTATAGTGTGAATGCTTGTTAAAATCCGAGTGTATTTTTTGTTTTCTTTTGCAAGTTTGAGCCATGGACCATTTGGCCTCACACTAGAGTTGCCCAACAAATCCGCAATATAAACAATTAAATAATAAAAGGAACCCTATAAAAATCTTGTAACATATCTTGGTGGATTGATACCTTCTTTTGGTTATATTCGACTCTCGATTTGACTTTTCTTTTTATCTTGAAATTACATTTATGAGTGAATTATGAATAAATTTCGAGAAAAAATTTCACGTTCTTCGAATTTTATGCATTGTGTCACTTATTATATATATAGAAATTGTTTTTTTTTTTTTCATATTTTTTTGACATGATGTGAAAATTTTGGAGATTTCTTTTCTTTGTTATTTGATTAACAATTTTACAGAATAATGAAAAACACGTGATTTGAAAGTGTGCTCAATTTTTTATATGGCACGCCGAAAGCCAGTATGGGCGTCAAAGTCCAACAAAGGAAAAATTGCAGTGTTGATCCCAATATATAGACATTATTGAAACTTGATCCTTCATGTATTTTTCTTGGCATAGTAGTTCCATAGCTCTTGAATTTTGTCACAATTCACATTTTTTTTTTTTTGGGGGTAAAAAAATCTATTAGAATGGCAGTATAATACATGAAGCATTATTGTATGTTGATGCTTTCTCTTTTGAAAACATGACTAAACCCGACTAGAAGTTGAAGTGTCCTTTGAAATTCAACAAAAACCTTGAAAGTAGAATAATAAGTTTCTAGGTACGTGACATTGTGACTTGAGTGCATTGTTTCCCTTAGACGATATTTGCCTCAATTATGGCCTCACTACTACAATGGATAGATACTGTTGGCATATTTTAGGCCAAATACAATTTTCCATCAATATTTTCTTAACCATTCTACTTCTTTACTACAAGATGCAGGAGCAATTAATTCAGTTGTTGTAATAGATTATGTCATACAAGTTTTCTTTTACGAACCCCATGATATAGCACGACCACCAAGTGTGAATATCCAACCACAACGATGCATTATGTCGTCTATCATCTAACTAGTATCTATAAATCATTCTAAAACTAGATGATAACCTTATACTATAATATATAGCTCATCTTCAATATTTTAAGACTCGATAAATTGCTTTCTAGCATATTTGACTTGGATTACTTTATACCTACTTAGTTTTCCAATAGAAAAATGCTATGTCCAATATAGTAAATGTCATCGCATACATGAGGCATTTAATGACTTGTTCTTTAAGTGTTAGAATAAAATCTAATACTAGAGTCAAAATCGTGGTTACCGACTTGCAATCGTAATGATCAAACTTTCTCAATACCTTTGCATTGTAGTAAGATTGAGTAAGAATGACTTTTTCATCTTTTCTATGACTCATTTGATTCCCATTTTTATCAAAATGTATTTTTCTTTCTCTTCTTTTTAAGTTAAAATAATATTATACGTAAAAAAAAAAATTATTATTTATTTTTCATCCACATATTCTCAATCAATCTATTATTTTAAAATTCATTTTTTCAATAAAATGGGTGTCAAAAACCCGCCTAATGATTTTAATACATAAAATCACATTTGAAAATCTCATATATTTCGTATCAAAATTTTTAATACTTTCTAAGTCAAATTCAAAGATTAACATACATTTTTCATATAGGCACTGCTTGGTTTGAAACTCAATAAATTCGGACTATGATGTTTAAACTGATCAATTATTTTTATAGAATTCGGTAAATAAGTGAAATGTTATGATTTCTTAACCCAGACAAATCTTCAATATGGTTGCCCAATAATATTAACCTACAAAGGACAGAATAATGGTGGCTGCAATTCCACAAAGGAAGGGAGAAAGAAAGGGAGCAATGGTTCAACACAAAGTCACCAAGCATCGGTTGCCTTCTTTTCCTCTCTTTCAAAACACCATTTCTTCACAAACAATGAGCTAATATATATTGTTTTAGGGCAAGACGAAGGGGTGGACCAAACAATTTCTAGTTCTTGGAGTAGTTGTGACCAAAGTCTAGTTTTCGATAGGGAGCAACAAGATGTTGTTGTTACTGGGGGGAGTTGGTGTGCTTGTGCCTCGTGGTGGTTTAACCGAGATTTAATTAAGTGGCTAGAGAAATGATACTATTTTATTTATTTTATTCGTAAATAAGGGTATGAAAAGCCATTTTATAAAAAAAAAAAAAAAATTTTGACTTTGTAATAGTCCATGAATGGATTTTGTCCGTGATGACCAACTCCGAACAAAAACACTGCCCCTAAAACAAACAAGTTGGGGACTCTACGAGGCTAAGAAAATATGTTAGAGACGAAGTTGCAACAAGTCCTATAGATTGTGGACCAACAAAACAATTGTACTATATTATGGCTCTCTTGTAGTTCCCGAGAATATCAAGGGCACATGCATATCCGCCTCTTCCTTCCTTTAGCCCCACCACGGACCCCAATCCCCCACCACCACCTCTGAACTGCGGGCCTCACGAATCCCGGCGGAGATTCCAATTTCAGTGCAGAGAGAGAGACAAAAGTCTGTTAAACAAGGAAAAACCCAAAAAACCAAATAATGTGCCCGATAAAACACAAACAAAAGCACCACCACCACCGTAGCGCCACCGCGACCGCCACAGTGGAAGACTGGAGAGAGGAATCGATAAATGGGGGATCCTTAAAACACGTAGACCTCCAGAATGGATCCAATGGCTGGGCCTCGCCTCCGGGTGAAATATTCTCTCTCCGGGGACCCAATTACTTTGCCAAGAAATCCAAAGTGCCGGCAGGTGATTGGTTGCTGAACCCGGCCGGAGTTGACTGGCTACGATCCAATTCCAAGCTCGATCACGTTCTTTCCAGGCCCGATAACCGTGTAATGGCTGCTCTGAGAAGCTCGAAAACTCCGGACAAATCATCCAAAACCTTCATTGTCGCGGTAAATTTACAGGTTCCCGGCCGGGATAATCACAGTGCGGTATTTTACTTTTCCAGTAAAGTGGATGAGCCCATTAATCCAAATTCACTACTTCATCAATTCATTCATGGGTCTGATGCATTTAGGGATAGTAGATTCAAGATAGTGAATAAAATTGTGAAAGGACCTTGGCTTGTGAAAACTGCGGTGGGGAATTATTCCGCTTGCTTATTGGGTAAAGCTTTAAAATGTCATTACCATAGGGGACCAAATTATTTGGAAATAGATGTTGATATTGGTAGCTCAGCTATTGCCACAGCGATTTTGCGTCTTGCTTTGGGATGTGTCACCACGGTGACTGTCGACATGGGGTTTCTGGTAGAATCGCAATCTGAGGAGGAGTTGCCGGAGAGATTGTTTGGGGCGGTGAGGATTTGTCAAATGGAAATGAGTTCTGCAACCTTTGTTGATAGTGCTACGCCTTCCAGTAAAGTCTTGCCAATGAATAATGGAGGAAGTGAAAATGAAGATGATTAGAGGGGTTGTTATTACTCTGATTAAGTAAGTTTCTGAATTTTCATATTGGCAATGGTGCACAATGATCTGTTAAATTGAAATCCATTTTCAATGGAGAGTGATGGATGTGGATAATAACTGTTAGGTGAAACTGTTGCATTATTTTTCTGCACTTTGAAAATAATTTCTTTACTCTCAACTAGAGTTTATAATTCTAATTGCTGCTTAATTTTCCAGTCGCTGTGTGATAAAATGGTTTCAGATGGAAATGCAAGAAATTACTGGCATTGTTCTAATTCTGGAAGATAATATGTATATCGTGGTTTTGTAAATGGACTATGACATGCCATTTAAAGACTAATTTGGAATGCGAAATTTGTTTTCAGGAGCCAGTTCTTTCTATGATGCCATGATAAACTGGCATTTGCTTATGGTGTTTATTAATTATATGTCCTGGCCTATTTGTCTTGCTTGGTATGATCCGACATGCTTAGATAATAGAAATGACAAATTGCAGTATTATTGTCAGCCTTTCTTGGTTAAATATGTGTTAGAAGTTGGGAGGTCTTTAATGATTCTATCGGGAATGTTCTTAGTTGCAGAGGAAACCATAATCCTTTGTTAGTATCCTCACATTCTTCTGATAATATTTGGAAGAAAATTGTCTGGTCGCTTTTGAGTCGTGAGAACTTGCAATTGGATTGTTGGCAGAATAGTTTGCGGAATTCACCAATATTCTGAATTGTATGTCTCACTTTTGCTTGAAGGTGACAAGCCATTCTTTAGGAGTGATATGAATAAAGAGTTTTCGCAACTAGCATGGGAATGTACTTTGTAATTGACCTGAGTTTAAGTTAAACATTATTGATCCTAGCTTGCCTCTTACTACCAATTCAAGAAAGAAACCAAATGCGGCAACTGGCAATCAATATTCATATTATTGATCTTATGGGTGTGAGCCGAATTGTTACTCTTTAGTTCTGAATGTATTTTTGTTTGTTTTGTTGCTGTTTGGTTTTGAGTAAAGATTGGAATATGGGATTGGATTGATTAATTGATTGCGACGTGTTTTTTTCATTACTGTAAGGGATGTTTTAGCTTTGGTTGGATTAGGATTTGTCTGTTCATGGCCAAAATGTACTTTAATATCTTGTCTTGGACTAAAATTTAAGTTACAGAAATGAATTTGCATTCCTAGATTCTATACTTCTATCTTGCCCAGAAATGAATTTTCCTTTGCTGGCAAGATGTGTTTGTGCTGCTTGACTATATTGTAAAAATATCTATTGTTTGTAGTCCCCTTGAGCAATCAAATGGTCGATGAGATGTCATTTGTTTTGTAATTGTCTACTCGTGTTGAGGTACAAGCTGAGCACACTGTTCGGTATGGAGTCTTTTTGTGAACTTGGTTAGGGTCCTTGAGGATGAATATCGAACCTAAGGTGGCGCTATAGTGGTGGTGGTTGATGGTACAGAAGTTGGTCTTTGGAGGAAATTTGATGCTTGAATCAGTTGAAAGGTTCTTGAATTTTTAAATTTTTGTTGACAAAAATGCCGGTTTTGGTTGATCTGATTATTATAGAATTCATAATTTTTCAACCGCACAATTCTCATACTTTTGACAAAATTTGATGGTGCAAAAGTTGGTCTTTGGAGGAAATTTGATGCTTGAATCAGTCGAAAGGGTTCTTGAATTTTTAAATTTTTGTTGACAAAAATGCAGGTTTTGGTTGATCTGATTATTATAGAATTCATAATTTTTCAACCGCACAATTCTTGACAAAATTTACTAAAAATCTAATTTTTATCTAAACAAAACAGGTGCTCAGAGCTATAATTCTGAGTCAGTTAGTCTCAGATTCATATTGCTCGTGTGTGGTTCCGTGCCCGGCCTTGCATTTTTCTGCATTGGTCGTCTTGGGCTTTAGGTGTCCGTACAGGGTCATACCAAAATGTGAACTAAAATTGTATGAGTTGACTTGGTTCATGTAGGCCAATGTTAAAAATAATTATAATATTTTTAATAAGAATTAAACAAAAATATGTTCTTCTCAATTTTCTTTTTTCTTTTTCTTCTTCTTCTTTCTTTCTTTTTTTTTTTTCTTTTTTCAAGATCATTACTAAATATTTGTGTGTATGTTATAAATTATAAACAAGAAACTTAGATTAAGAACTTACCGAAATTCGATAATTAAATCTTGGCATTTGATTTCAAGTACTCGATGTCTTCAACCTTTATATCTTCTAAGGTGTTCTCCGAAGTTAAAAGTAGATAGGAGTGTGAGTACCTTTTATTAAAAACAAGAAGCCTAATTTTAAATTGAACAGACCAAGAAAAAAATAAATTTCTATTTTTTTCTACGAAAACGTGTCCCGTTTTTTCAATGGGGAATTTGGCTTGGCCTCCATGAGGCAGATATAAGTCATTCTCCAAGTCCAAGTCAAAGTAGATCTCAATCGATTAATTGTAAATGCAGTTATCGAACTTTAATTATAATTACCATTAAGTTCAAAACTTTTTCAAACTATCATAGGGAACTAATTGGACATGAATTATTCAACCTCCAATAATTAAATCATATCTAGTCGATATTAGACCACTGATATATATATATATATATATATATGTGTGTGTGTGTGTGTGTGTGTGTGTGTGTGTGTGTGTGTGTGTGTGTGTGTGAGCCACATTATTTTGATAATAATACATTTTTGAATAGTATACTGATGGGAAATATGTGGTTAAAAAATTAGAAATTTTTTTTGATTTGTGTGTAATATTATTTTATTGAAGAATGTATGGTTAAAATGATGTCAAATCACTGTTTAAGAATGCATTTTTTTGAAAAAATGTGGTTCAAACAGGCTATATATATATATAAACTTGTCCCATTGATTTAAATGAATACTCGATGATCAAGTGTAACTTAATTCTTCGAATGATCATGTTATGCCCCTGTTTGGCCCCCATTTTGCGAAAAAAATTAATGGGTGGAATAGTGTATTTTTGAAAAATGAGTGGTTGGAAAAGAAAGAAAAGTTTTTAATTTACGTGTAATATTATTTTATGGATAATTGTGTGATTGAAAATAAGAGAGAAAAATGAAATGTAATGAAATAAAAATTAAGGGGGGCTATATAATAAAACTTGACATGTGGTTATTTCAATACACTGGTGTAATAGTGTCATCTTTAACTATTTATATGATAAAGATAAATCACAAACCTGAACAATGAATTTGGCAACATACAACATTTCAGTACAAGGTGTCAGTCTTTTTACATTTGTTATTAACCAATTAATATTTATGATCAAAATATAAGTTGTATTACACTACGCTTCTTCATGCAAGCAAACAATTTATATTATTACAAATGATTGATAACTATATTTTAAATGGTTATTTATGCTTTTAATCTTGATAAATTACGATTTATTTGAGGGGATTTCTACCAAATTATTTGAATTGTAGGAAAATATAAAGGTCGAGCACAATTGATGCAAAAATGTGATGATTTTGAGCGTAATTGGAGATCAATTCGAGCACTTAAAGATCATCTGAGGTTGCAATCAATCAATTGAAAAAAGTCTTGGGATGCAATTGGATAAATTCACGAGATTAAGGACAAAAAATTGACAAGTGGAAAGTTTGTGGAGCAAAGTAGAAGTTTTGAAAAACTGGAGGATCAAATCGCAATAAAAGAGAAATGGGCCACGACAACCCGCAGCCATTGAATTTGGGAACAATACATAACTCCTATATATAAGAATTACATTTCGAAACTAACAAACTTGTAAAATTATTTCAAAATTCAGGTGTTAATTCTAATTAATAATATATTTTATATATAATTATTTGGAATTAATTATCTCGACCCAATTAATAGTATCCCCAAACACCACCCCCACACTACCAAATTAATAATTTTCAATCAATAATAGGGAAAAATTCATATCTCAGGTGTATTGTTTACACCAATTCAAAAATAAGATAAATAGTTTGAAATTTCAAAATTCAGGTTTATAATTAGTTAATTAAAAATATTTATTAATTAAAGATAATAAAATCACAATTACACGATTAATGATCACAAATTAATATTTATGGGTCACAAATTTATTTACTAGTTACATATCGTTAAATTAATTAGTCACAGATTATTTCGAAATCACAGAACAAAAATTTTGTATTCACAGATTATCAAATTTTAATGCTAGACCAAATCGTTGAGGTCACAAATTATTTTGTAGTCAAAGATTATCAAATTTTAAGGTCACAGACAAAATCGTTGGTCATATATAACAAACACTCCACTCCCGATCCCAATCCACCACAAATCATTAGTCACAGAGCAACCAAAATAATTGCTCACAATCACTATTACACCCCGCCCCCGCCACAACACCACCACAACGCCCACCAACAACAACCAAAACGACTACCATCCACGTCTCACCAACACAATCGGCTTCCACAAACAGTCAAACACAGATCTCCCATAATATCAACACAATCGCGCTGCAAATCCCACCACCAGCGACCATTGCACAGTAGTTCGAATCAAAAACCAAAAAAACCCCAAAAATCAACCACCAGATCCGTCACCCATGTCATTCCCACACACAAACCACCCGCCGCAAGAACCACCACCGAACCACTGCTATTCACCAAAACCACCACCAAATTTCCCCACTACAGAGGAGAAGACACCTCTACACAACGACTCCGGCTAAGTAGATCCAATCGAGGAGAACGAAATCACCCAAAAAAAAAAAACCAAACTCACACCCCAAATTTTCTCTTCTACTAGCGACCAAAAAACCCCACTCTACTCCCCAAATTTTTATCTACTGCGACAGGTACACTGCCAGGCAACGACATATCGCAAATTTTGCACGTACATCGCCAAACGATAGATCGCAATGTTGCACGTACTGTGCATGGTGCATTGCAGCATTACTCATGAGATGAGAGAGAGAACGTAGTGGGCGACGAGAGAGAGTGAGGAGAGAGAAGGGGGATGCTGTGAGTGATTCTATGAAGATTAGGATTTGGGTCGTGGGGCTGGTTGGTAAATATTAATATTTAATTATTAAATTAAAATCTAATCTGCATAGAAAACTATCCCACCTAGTTTTTGCACTAGGATCTTTAAATGCTTGGATTTTTGTAATTTCCTCTCAATAATAACCCACACCCACTCACCCACCCAAGCTACCTATAAAATTTTTTCAGCCCAATTAATAGTATCTCCAAACCTAACCCCCACACTACTAGATTAATAATATTCCAATCAATCATATCCCCCCACCCCATCTCCTATCCCTATCTATAAAATTTTTTCAGAAATTAAAAATATTTTTTTGGAGATTACACCCCTCACTTGGAACCACGCCCATTGACGCTATGCCACCTATCCTTCCTACCCATCCACCCCACTTCCATTTCAACCTTTAGAAAAATTTCAGAAATTTAAAACATTTTCTGAAAATTACACCCAACCCCATGGAACCACCACCACCAAACCCCACCCTGTAGAAATTTTCCTTTTTTTTTTTAATTTTTAAAATCTGTAGATTATACCCACCCACGGACTAATGGTGTTTTCTATGACAAAATCTATTGTTTGTAATCGTGCATGTGTTAGATATGACTAATGATGATAAAATTAGTCCTCGATGTGACCGTCTGTGATAGTTTAAATTGTGACTGTATGTAATTAAGTAATTAACATGTACTTATATTTCTATCTGTGACCAAATTTATCTTCAAAATGACTATTTGTGACTAGATTAATCTTAATCATTACAGTCAGTGATCAAGTTACAACAGATCACAGTTGACATAGATTTGGTCACAAACCAATCACAATAAACACATACTTGGTCATATAAGGTCTCTACAAATAAATTTGCACAACCACAATTCACTACAGTCATCACCACCATCACATTCAATGCACCACCACTACCACTTTCAACTCAAAATAACGACCAAAAATACTACTTTCACTAACTTGTGACTAACTGTGACTAAATTTGTCTTCAATAAAACTATCG